TATATATATATATATATATATATATAATCTGCAGAATTCTATATTCTTTGTGCCACTTGGGTATATCAAGCACCGTCTTTCCTTTCAACAAATCAGATTGAGGAAAGGAGGGGGCATATTTTACATTTCATTCAAAACTCTTGCCTTAACGTTTTAAGATTTAATTATCCTTATACTTTTGTTCGTATCGAATACTACTTTTTTTAGTTTTCGCTACAGTGTAAGATTTGGAGCGGCGGTTCCGGTTCTTATCTCTGTCTAAGGGCGTGCTCGAATTGGCCACATAGGTCACAAGGCCAATGTTGCAACTCTAAACTAGAGTTTAAATTACGTAGAGTAGACTAACGGTGGCGTCATAAAAAGGAGAGAGAAAAAAAAATGAACACCAACATGCATCCATTATACTAGGTAACATTAATTTTTTCCCGTCGATAACATAAAATATTTGAGATAAATTATCGGGTATTGTATTCACTCAAAATCGTATCGGTAGTACGACGCAGGCTTGTGAGTAGCTCTATTGGTAATTGAAGCTCACACATACATCTGTCGGAGATATCAATTATAGCTAAAGCTACTCCCAGTAATAAACTCAGAGCCATGGTCCACCCAATCTTATTCTCTTAAGTATGAACCTGCGCTACAGTACCATGTCATTAACTGGATCAGTGTGTACGTGTGAATCGTAAATATGTTCTGTGAGTAGTGTCCCATGTGTACATGTAGATGTGGATGTATTTTTTTTTCTCTTAGCGTATCTTAAAACGTATATAAACAAATTAAGAGCAAACTCGATCTAATTTTTAGTCTTCTTTTTCGTCCCTGCAATATAAGAAGAGAAGTTTATTAGTTATTGGCTTTATAGTGAGCACTTTATTAAGCCAACGCAACAACGATATATATAGATATACGTACTTTACAACTTCTTGTTGTTGAAAAAGATGAAGTTCAACAATTGTCTCTGCTCTAGTTTGCACTTTGAAGGTCACGTGGGCTACTAAGTAATTGTCTTTGTTATTAACTGACCATCCAGAATACTGAAATAAAATATATCTTATGAACTTGTACGTTTATGTGAGCAATTTATGTTCCAAAATGTGTTGTAATTTTTCGATCTTACAACATGCAAATGAGTCAGTAAATAACGGAGCTGATTTAAAGTCTCGAAAAGTAGACAATGCACTTACTGTCGATGTACTTTTGTACAGTGTCTTGCCATCTTCTTTGAATGGTAAGAACTTTTGTAACAGTGCTTTTCCATCTATCCTCCATAGTGTAGGTGGATCATTGACTCCATCGACATCAGTTTTCGCCACAACAAATGCGCCAGACTATGACAAGTATCAATTGTTATAAACATCTTGAGGAAAAATGCTATAATTGGTTCAACATAGATCAAGGCACTCACTGTGTAATCCTTTGGAGCTTCCCCCGATGATTCATTGAAACTGTTATCGGAATCATCGTCGTCTTCATCATCCTTTTCATCATCTTCTTTCTTAGAACGCCTTTTCCTTTTTGGCTTCTTCCCTGTATCAGAATCTGAGTCCTCATCTTCTATATCGTCATCTGATTCACCCTCTTCTTCCTCTTCTTCTTCTTCCTCTTCAGAATGCTGTCGTTTTTTCGCTGTTTCCCTCTGTGGTCTTATTTTAGTACCGCCCTTTAAAAAATCATAAATAAGTGGTATTATAATAATAAGTAGTTAGATGAGAAAGTAAAGGATATGACAGTAGTAAGATAACAAAAAAAAAAAAGATAGACACTATATCTATTTCATATATGCATGTAGAATAGGGCTTTTTTTACTTATATATCTCATATGAAAATAATATATTTTATCAAATAACATAGGCATGCAGAAATATCAGCAAAAAAAGTTAAATATAAAAAGATATTGGTTATAGCGATTATACATCATGTCTGTGAATGTTGTGATATTTTTAATATATCTTTCTAGCGATATTTTCATCGGAAAAATATCTCGAACGATATTTCCTCCCTGATGCTATTTCACAAAATACATTTCTAAAGTTTTAAACACAGATCTCACTTAATGATTTCAGACTAACAGATGCCCCAGCTTTTTATAATTTATTACCTGTACATTTAACGATCGATTAAACAATGAATATCTCAATGATAGTCTCTTATTATTTCTCTCTTGAAACAGCCGTCCGAGTATCTTCTCCTGCCACATCGACACAAAAGATCTATACCGATTATCAAACTAGCTGCCGTCACAGATTACAAAACTTACTTTTGTGGTTACAAAAATTACTTCCGACAATTACAGCCGACTGCTTTTCGCACCATCCGGGCAAAAATTGCAAGCAAAACATCGACGTGAATCGCGACGCGAAGCCTCGCGGATCCCCGACGCATCTCTTCCGAGCCGGTGGCAAAATGCACTCGGAACGGAGCTGGAAATCGCGGGGTCGCGCGGTCGGCTTCTGGCGATTTGAAAAATTCGACGATCGGCGCCACCAGGCGGCCGACCGGCCGGCAACGATGGCCGCGACCGGACTCCGTGCCGGAAGGACCGGAACGAGAGAGTACCTCGAAAGGTACGTTCTGACGATGCGACTCGTCGATCACGCGGGGAGCCACTGATCATGACCCGGCACGGAGAGACGACGCCGGGGACGACGGCTCGCGCGCACTTCTCGTCTTCTACGATAAGAGACGGTAGGCGGCCGCTAATTGCCGCCGATGCTTCTTTCCGCTGCAGCAGCTCACGAGACTCGCAGGGCGCTGGCAGGTGTGTTTACTCGGCGTGATGTAAGAGCCGAGAGAGCGTGTCCTCCGCTGCGACGACGCGAGATCGCACGAGCAGAGCTCTCTCTCTCTCTCTCTCTCTCTCTTCGACGACATGTCGAGATCGCGGCCGAATGTCCGCCGAGCCGCTCGAGAGAGCGTGCTCCCCTTTGACAGACGTGTTATCGCGCGGAACGTCGAGGGAGCGTCGACGGCGACTGGCGCGACCCGGTCGTCGTCACGGTCTGCGCGCGGGCACGTTTGCGACGGGGACTCGCGCGTCGTAGGAACGTAGCGTGTGACGTGGGCTCACCTCGGCTCCGGGCTCGGGGGTCCACTCCTCCTCGGAGGCGCCCTCGACCTCCTCCGGGTCGTCCGCCGAATACTCGTCCTCGTCCGACACGTCCTTGGTCTTCTTCATGTTGCCTTTGCGCGAAATGTTTGTCGCTATCGTTATATACTTCCTCGAAGCGACGAAGACCACGCCGGGACACGAGACCGCACTTCGACGGAGCGTACGACGGAGGACGTGCGCGAACACCTTCAAACAATATGGCGCTCGGTCTCGCGCGCGGACCCGCCAGGCTGCGCGAACGGCGCCCGAGATGCCGCCACCATTTGCCCGCGCGGGAACGCGGCAAGACGAACCGCGGGAGCGAGGCGCGCGATACGATTTGCATTCGGCAAATTTGCGACGTTTTCGCGCAATGTGTGTGTGTGTGTGTGTGTTGTGTGCTTACTCGTCGATCGCGCAGAATCGTCGAGATCGCACCGTCGACGAGCCGGCTACAATTGATACGAGGTTTATCTTCTTCATTAATTATTTGGAAATCCGAGGCTCCGTGTCGAACCTGTTCTGGGCTTCTATTTAAATTCGAATAAGCGCCGCGCAATTAGCAGGTAATTAGTCTTTCTCTCTCGTGAAATCGATCGCACGATGTCCCCTTCCTTCGCTCGACCGTTTCTCCTCCCGCGCCGTTTTAAGAATACGTCGACGTTTCAGAACGTTGGACGATTTTTTTCTGCGTTTTGGGCGACCATAAGTGAATTACACCTCGTTGGGATGTAACAATTTTACATGTCGAGGCATCCTCGACGTGACGTCTGACGGACGTACACGATGGTCTTACCGCGCGAAGAGCTTGCCAGATGGCAGCACTGGGATCGCGCTGGGAAGAATACGTGGGAGTGTCTGCGTCCGTCAACGCGTAGACAGGAAGCGCGCCTCGTGAATTCCGGCTCGATGCGTCGATGTACGATGTAGCCTCACCGTGTATATTCACGCCGAAATGACGTCACGTCGGCCCTACGAATATTTTATTATAGGAGTAATATTAATTTAATAAGAGGGAAGAGAAATGTTTCGAGGATACCTGGACCGGACGATCTCTCGGCGATGCTTCGTAAGTATATCGAACGTATATCGCGTCGCTGAAATTTTTGCGTTGTACAAGTTGGCGCCGTCATTGTACAGATATATATATATATATATATATATATATATATANGGGGTGGGGGGGAGGACTTGCTCTTTTTAAGAAATACAAGAAAGAAAGAACGACAGTGTGTTAAATAGTAAAGCGGTTAAAAAAAAACATCAGACGTCCTTAACGAAGCATAGACGATAATCCGGGGGCAACAGCGTGAAGCTGTTGAAGCAATGCGTACTTTTTAAAAAGCCATTGACGCAACGCGTACTTTTTAAAAAGTCGATAAAATAATTCTTTTTTTTTACGCATCACGACGGGGGCTCCTTGATGCGGCAAAGTAGAGCTGCGCAAAACAAGTTAACCGTACAATCATCGGGATAATTAATTCTATTAATTCGCACCGCTCTCGCGCGTGATCGCGACTCGACGCGCGGAGCACTGTCGCCGTCGTTGTCAATTTCACGAGGATTGCGACGAATAATCAACGACGATCGACTGACGTTACGGGTGACGATTGTTCGAGGAACAACGAGGCTCCTTCGTCGCGCCTCTCTCGGAGGCGCTAATAATTTTTTGTATTTGAACCGCCTTCCGGGCCGGGTCGATATGGAGGTTGACGCGTGCGCGCGCCGCGCCGCCCGTCGTCCGGAGACGCTTCCGTTCGCAGTATTTACGGTACTGGGGCGATACTGAGGCAAAAAGCCCCAGTGTAAGGGTAAGGAGTGGATCAGGTGGGATCGGGGAGAAGGATGTTCGAGCTGTATGGCGTCGGCAAGGGCGGCATGGTGTATCACCCGCCGCCCCCCAGAGGGAAAGAAGTCGACATCTTGGAGGTAGGACGAACGGACGGGTTATTAAAAATCCCTTGCTCATTGCACTCTCCGGTAAGCTTCCTGCTAATCACCCTGCCCCGCGGCTTCCCGAGGCTTTCCCCCGGCGCGGGGGACGGGGGTCGAAGTCAAAGTATAATTAAATACGGTGCACCCCTCTCTCGTAATCGTAATGGCCGAGTCAACGGCCGTGAACGCACATGCACGCGCGTATGCACGTACTGTGCGCTGCGCGTTGTTGCCCTCGTACTGGTAATTTTTTTTCACTCAACGACGACGAAGCACAACTTACGATTGTGTGAAACAATACGAATATCTTATTTGATATATATA